CGGCGGGGTTTCCAGGGTGCCCCTTCGACGAATTATCGTCCCGGGAGGTATGTTCTCTTTCGCCCCTCAGATGACGGACGCCGCGATGATTACGGGTGTCTCGGGTTTCCTCGCACTGCAGCGCGGGATGTCGCGGTATACGCGCGGACCTATTGTCTCCCCATTTCGACCTCTCCGTATGATGTTGCGCCGTCGCTCACGGAAGTTTTCATCTAATCATGAATCTAATATTCCGTCATACATTTGACTCGTGTACTACGCGTGTTTAATGGGTCTAATGGATCGAATAAAGTATACGGCATCTGTTCACACAATCGTTACATAGAATTATTTATAAGTTTCGCTATTTTCGTTTGTGTATATAGAAATTGGCAAAAGCAGTTCTTATAATTGTTTTTGTAGTTGTAGAAAAGTTTCACAACAAAGTAATACAGTCTTTTTGTCTTTATAGAAAAATGTAGTTGTACAGAAGTCACGAGAATGTTATCGAAATAATTCAATTTTTAATATTTTTTTTCACAACCGACTGTTTTTCCGTAGTCTAGTAAAATGAAAAGCATTCTTAATTCAATCAACAAACAATGGAGCCGCGAACTATCTCGCGAGCTCACACGTATGACACATCCAATCCCCGACGAGGAAGACATTTCGCGCTCAGCGTTAATTGCGGCGTCAAGAATGGATTTTACAGCCGTGGCGAATATCCACGCGCCGAAACTGCAATTGCCCGCAGTTTGAGGGCCGCGATTAATCTTGAGATTAAAGTGAGAGAGTTTGTCGGCTGTAATTGATGTTGAGGGAGCGACTGCGAGGGGCAGCGTGGATACAGCAGGAAGGACAAATAAGAATGGTAATTATTGTAATCTCGACGCGGTGGGAGGACAGCTGGGAGGTCCTGCTGCTCTCCTCGCTTCAGCCGTATCTAATATCGGAGGCTACCGCGAAATTATCTTCTCAGGAGGTCCATTTCTTTAATTTGTATTATTATTTAAGACGTCTGTAATCGAGATTACGTTTTCAACGTCACGCCTCGTATCTGTTAAACAGACATCGGCGAAGAGATGTCACTTCTTAGCGCTGCTTCAAGAAAACGCGATTAATAGGATTGTACGAATTGAAAATATACACATTTTCCAATCAGCCAAGTAATTTGCATAGAACGCTCTAAGCTCTAAGCAATTAATCATGTACGTTGACATTTATATCCTGCGAATTTTTACCTAAGCTGTCATTTACATAATCATCCGATTTTTGAGACGGTAATCGGGACTACTGGGAAATATATTTTGCAAGTCAACCGAACGGACAATGTAACTAACTTTCGTGCGTCGCGATCGAACGATGTTGCACACTGGAAATGGCAACAGATATAATCGGTGTAACATTGGAATTCGCGACCCAATCGTTTGTCGCGTTGGTCGTTAACGCGGACGTATCGCGGCGTATCGAAGAGGTGCGCGCGTCTCAGGTGAGCTATCAGGTTGTTCAGGTATCGTCCTGCCCCGTGAATACCATTGGTTGAGGGCAGACCACGCCTGCTCACCTGCAGCTAGCGCATTCCGTGGTGGGGTTGAAACTTACCTGTCGCTGACGTCACCGAAGTCACGCTAACTCTCGCAGGTAAATGCCTTCCTGCATTAGCCGCCTTCGCGGCATTTTCGCTTGTTTATCGCGTATCCTTTCAGATTGGCGTTTGAGTAGCGCTATATAATCCTCAGAGCTATGAATGTACTGTGGGACGTACAAAAGCCTTTTTGTATATAGTGAAGACTTTTATCGAATGCAATTATAAATGCGATAGTATCGAACATGTATTTGCGAATGCGATAGCAAAAGAATGTAATTATATCACAAAATAGCTGTTAAAAATTTAATTATTGGGACGACAGAAAAATGTATATAATTATATCACGAAACGTTATTTGGAAATGATTTTAATTAAGACGAGAGTTGAATTATCGTACAGAAACGAGTACATTCTATATATCATACCAGAAAATGTTCAGATCGGAAGATCAAACGAATCAGTTTTTTTTTTTGTTATCCGGCCTGCATTTGCCGCTCGGGCATTTTTCGGGGCCTGGCAAGAGGGGCGCGCTCGCTCTCTCGAGTCGTAATTGTCGGAGCGAAAAAAAGAGCGATGGTCGCAGCCTCGGCGGGTTTCATGGCGCGCGGACGAGCTCGCGGGGTCCCGGACGCGTATGAAAATTCATGAGCGCCTGAAGTCAAAGGCAGTTGATATCCATATTCAGAAAATGGCGTCGTTAACATTAAACGGGCACCATTATGCGCGGCTACCAACACGCGCGCGCTCGCGCTCGCCGCCGCGCACACGGCATACACGCCTTGGTGTGGTTCCGTGCGTGCGTGTGTGCCTCCCGCCGCATCACGCTACGGAACTCCCAGGGGAAAGCCCCGCGTGCGCGCGCGTGCAGTGGCAGTGCGCGTTACACCGCTTGCATTCGAAGCGTCCGCGTGCGCGTTTCCCGACGACGACGCGACGACGACATTGCTCCTTGGCATGCGACGACGACGACGACGACGACGACGACGACGACGACGGACCGATCGTCTCGCTTGCTATCATTTTCGAGCTCGTACCATTTGGAAAGGGTGTGACTCCGGGGGGTGTAACTCGCGAAAGAGCGGAGAGACCGGGCGCCGATTACTCCCGAGATCGCCGGACGATACGACGCCATTAGGGCACTTATCCTTTCTCACGGTGCGTGTACCAACAGCAGACGATAATTATTTAGCGCCGCTACGCTGAATAGGGCTATACCGCCTCCTCTCTCGTATAATGTCGACCGACCCGAATCGGCCGGGCCCTGCCCGATCTCTCGTTCGGTTATAATTTTGTTCCGCGTATGTTAATTTGCAATATCCCGTGGTTGCATTCCCGGCCGCGATTTTCTTTATGAGCGATAAGTATACTTTTCACGGATCAGTATACATCGGCGTTACCGTTGACGTAACGCACTCTCGGGGAGGGGGCGAGTCCTCTCCCCCCCCGTCGACATCCGGATATTTAATCTCTTCGAGATTCAAATACTCTCTTCCGAGCCGACTCGATTCCCGCCTCTCGCTCTCCCGAAGGAAAGCGAGCGGAACGCAAAGTGTTCGACATCAGAGAGTTCCCGAGCCGAGCTAATATTGACGCACGTAGGATAGAGATAACGGCAATATTGGATGTCCCCTGGTTGTGAGCCGAGGAAGAGCGGGACCGATCGGCGCCCCCCTCGGCACCGGATTTGCCTTCGTAGTCGCTGAGCTCCATTGTGGCATGTTCGATGAAGCAAATGCACATCGGCGGTGCGCTCTTCGGCGGGACCGCGCAACTCCGGCCTACATATATATCTATATACGCGGTGCCTGCGCGCGTGTGCGCGGTGGCTGGTACACGCTCCAAGACACCCTGCGGCGCAGGGTATTTACATATCAAAGTGACGATGGTCTCTCGCACCGTGGTGGAAGCTGCGTTATCCGTCGACAGACCGCGCGAGGGGACGCGATTTTTCCTCGCATTTCGGCCTGTCGCCGATCCTATTCGTTGGCCCTCGAATGGCATGATAAAACGATTTTCTTTTATGGCTCCTCATAAACGTTTCACAAGCATGAAACGTCGTGCTTTTTGCACGTCGTTAAGTTCCATCGCAAAGAGCAATTGATCACTTTTTGCTGAATTATTGCTATATATAATAAATATTTTAAGATATACTATTTTAGATATACAGTCTCTGGTCGTGCTTAAGCGCACTTTGAATTTTATCTGGACATGTGAGTGACAAGTATGTAAATGACGCACTAATATAAATGCATCCATTTTATAGACGACTATTTTCTTTACATATTTCAATCGACAATTTCAACAATGATAGAAATTATAATATCTGCTCTTTAAAAGTCGATAAATTGTAAAAAATATGATGCGATTTAATGATATATGCGGTCAGGGGGCTATGTTTAATCAGACGCAATGTTTTCCATCACGGTGACATGGTGACATTATGTTAATATTGGCGACAGTGCTTTAGATTTCAATTCTGAAAAATCAACAATAAGTTAGTTGATTGAAAGGACTTTCGTTCGATCATCTATCGCGTGTCGTACCCCGGCTAGATGTCAACGTGACATCCATCACAGTCTCACGAATTTGTCAACAGGGGATTGCTCTGGGGCATCTCGATTCAGGGGATCCCCCGCGGCGCGCCTACCTTAGCATTCCCACGTCGAAGGGTGCACTGTCACAATAAGCACCCCGCGTGCCTTAATTCATGGCTAAACTCGGTGCTAAAAGCAACGAAAACGGCTACAAATTTACGGGATAAACCCGCAACGTGCGACATTGATCGCGTTGTTACACTACAATATCGACAAAAGTTTTACGGCATTAGACTGCTTCTACAATATTTCTAGAATATTCAAATTTTAATTTTTTAAGAGAAAAAAAAGGTAAAGAGAGAAATCTTTTTTTTATTCCGAAGTATGCGTTTCTCACTATGATAATGAAGAAGTAAATGAATAAGCTCTTGTAAAGCGACGACAACGAGTTGAACACGCGTATGCTGGGTTTATCTTGAAACCAGATAGAACGCAAATCACATAGTCAATTGCAGAAATGGGCATTGTTCTCCCTCTCCCCTCCCTACCCTTCCTTCCCTCCCGCAAGTTGAGAGCCGCGTGCACGACGGCTACTATAGTAGATCCGCTATATGATTAGAGCTCGCAAACTCCGCGCGGTAAAAGTGGAATACGTGGGTATCGAGCGCTACGACGACTCTTTAAAACTTGTCCTTTCGTAACTTTATCCGCCGGTTATGGACGTGAGAATGTGGGAGGCGGGTAATAAGCCGGAAACGCGATTGCGCGCTATGGCATCGGGGAATAAATTATTTTGCGCGTTCCAGGAAGGAAGACTGAGCCCCTTTCGCAATACGCGATTTTTTTCTGCATGCTTGCTTGTAATTCTAATTCGTTGTATATTTTATCATCTGTTGCAGAAAAGTACGTACGTTGGACACAGGTATAACTTTATATTCCAAGAAAATGCTACGGCGTCTCCTTTACGTTGGCTTGCTGCGCGGGTAATTAATTCATATAGAAGTTCGACCTTCTGTAGACCGGCTAAGGTGAGTAATACGACGAGCTCTTGTGACATTTCCGTAATTCAGACGCGATTTTCTACGCGGTGACGTTGCGTCAGTCGAATTAGCGGCGTTAGAGCGATCTTTCTTCAGTCTGCATATCGCGTGGTATCGCGTCGTCGCAGCCTCTCGATCGAATCGCGGTGGCTCACTGGGATGATCTCGATGACCCATCGCTTCGGGGTCAAGGTAGGTCTCCTCCGCCAATGGGTTCCCGTGGATCGAATACAGAAAATCAGCGGAACGACTTAATAAGACACGATTGCGGGACGATTGCTTCACCCGGCCGCTCTGTGACGATTTGCATACACGATTATAGACCGCGGTGGGCTTGAGCGGAGGAGAGGAAAAAAATATCGAATTCCTCCTCTGGAGGTGGGTCGAGGCGAGATGCCAAAAATGTTGGCTATATCCGCCTGCATAGGTATCCGCGCCTGCATTTACGTGTTCGTAACTATTACCGCGTGCGGTAAACTCGGTAGACCTTCTCTCGGTGAGCGCACCTTCCAACAACTAAGTGCGCTCGTTATAATGCGCGCGGCCCGTTACGATTTCCATGCGATCGCGAAAGCGTGAGTTCTCGATCCCGCGGTGCAAAATTCTGCAAAGAGATTCATATAGGATCGCGCATATATTTTCACGGTTATACTCACTTGGCTCGCAAGTGACGATGCTGCTCAACTGTTTTCGACCGTTGCGCAAAACGGTTTCTGCTTGACGTTGCCTGTATGGCAGCGCCGGAATAAATCTAATTGCAACAGAGACCGCCAAACTATAAAGTGTCAAGTCGTTCTCGATTGGTCTCGGTTGTTTTCGATTTTCGTAATACCGCGAAACGCGACGAGAGAGAGAAAGAGAGAGAGAGACGCGATGTAGGATGACAAGCGTCCGCCGTTCCGGCGGATACGTACGTATCACATGAATTAGAGATAGAGCACGGCCATTTATTAGATTCGCCAGCGGGGTAATAATAACTTGGCAATAATTTCGTACCGAGAGACTACAATGGCGACGGTAGAAAACCGGCCGCACAGTTGGTTGCGCATCTGCGACATCACGCGAGTGGTAGTCGCCAGCGTTCTGCATTTTTTGCGGCTTTTTCTTTTGCTTCGCCACGACATTTTGCCGGTCGTGCTTTACCGCAGAATCGGTTACCGGTATAGACATGAATTTCACCGGTATAGACATTAATTGCATAATATTAATTATTCACGCGAAATCAATCAGTCGTAATGCGTAAGCAAAATTTGCGAGGTCGACTCGTGTGTTTAACGTTTTACGGACTGAATATCAATAATACCAGCATGATAGTTGCCTGATTACGTGCGGGTTTACGCAATACGCGGACGCAGGAAAAAAACAGGAAAAGGTTCGGCAATAAGGAGGCCTTCAATCATCTATGCTAAGTCGATTCGATCTCTCGCGATCGATCGCTATAATTGATCCCGTAACAATCCCGCCAGCGCGCGGCGAGTGGAATGGCCGCGCGATGTCACCGATACGCGATCGGGGCGGCGCACATCAAAGAGGGACGAGGCCGATCCAGGGAGCGCGAGACCATCATAAACTTTCGCGAGCGGCCGGTCTCGCCTCATCTCGCGTCGCCGCTTCGCCTCGCCGCGGATCGGAACGTGATGCGAGCGTGGCGATTTATTTGCCATTGCCGCTCCTCATTTCGCGCGACGTGCCGCCGACACGGCGGCGCGGCGTTCCTCGTCGAGAACGCACGACTTCGTGTATCGTTCGCTCTCTGAAACTGTTACTCTCTTGCAGTTCATTTCGTAACCTGTTTTATTTTCTTTTTTTTTTATATATATATAACGTGTAACAAATCGTGAAAAATTGGGAATTCTAATCACAACACAAATGCATTTTTCGATATAATGAAATAATCACCGAGCGATGTAACTAAAAAGAGTCAAACGGAAAGCGAATCGAGAATACGACGTCGACGAATTGCGTTTAATGCTGCCGGTGGATCAGAGAGATGTCTCCGAATCGTGCGGATGGACGGAGTACACGCGGGTCAAAAAGTAACGACTAGAGGCCTTTACGTCCCTCAGGGAACGTGAGGAAAATTGCGCGAGAATGGACGGAGAAGTCCTATCAACGCTCCACCGCGACCGTCCGCCGCGGCGGCGCGGCGGCACGGCGGCAGCTCGGCGGCCGTTCTTGAATCGCGGGGGGATTTTTGTTGCCGAGTGTCGTCGCAATCGGGCGGCCTCATCGCACGAATTACAGGCTTGGCTCGTGTTCGTGGGTGCCTTTGAGAGTCGCGTGGATAGGCGGAGAAGCTTCGCTGGAGCACGCCGCACAGTCTCCACGGTGAATCGGCGCACGATACCGACAACGGCACCGTTGACCCTTTCCTTCTTTGTATTCGTAAAAAAAGAAGAAATGATGTTTCTTTGAAGAATAAATGATATTTTTTAAAGAATAAAAAAGAGATATTTGAAGATTTATAAGAATTCAAAAAGAACCAATTCCAGAAGTGAATAAAAAAAAATAATTACTCGACAAAGCAGAAATTAACAAATAGTAATTTTAAAACTGTATTACGAAAATATTATTTCATACTGCGTATTGCATCGTGGTGATTCTTGTATCGACCAGTGCTGCCCCTCAACGGCAACCAGAAAGACCACGGGTCGAGTAGCCTGGTGCCGGACGGTCCAGAAAAGAGATTGCCTGCGCGTCGCTGTGGGTGCAATCGCTTGGAGAATGTTAATCGTGGGGACAACGACCCAGCCGGTGTGGTCCACCGGGCCAAAATTACGTTTTCGGTTCTAGAGATACTCGGCACAATGTACATTAAGGTCATCCGGTTCGCGAGAGGCCGCCCGGCGATCCTTACTTCCACTTCCCATCCCCTCGTACAATTTTTACCTGCTCTGATCGCGCCGCAGATACATGATTCACGAGTAAATTGAACTCCAAAATGAAACATGAATGTAGATTAATAAATTTTAAATGGACGGCATGTATCATTTTGTAAGACGTTATTTTTCAACGAAGCAGAAATAATAATAGCAACGGAAATAGCTTGTAAAAGTCGATACTTGAGTACTAGATACTATCGTAGAAATTTGACACGAAATTATTCCGCGCGTATATTCATGTTCAAATTACATTGTCATTTCTCGCGATAGGAGACGATTGAGGAGCCATTTATAGTAGCCATTTTGAGGAAACAAATATGCGTAAGCACCAAAGTTCCCATATATCGCTTTGTGAGGATCCATTTTCTTATAGCTCTTGCGAATTGACCGAGGACTATTCTTTGCCGGCAACGATTGAGCGTAACGACTGCCGAGGACGGGAGAGGGTCGTATTCTCTGCGTTCGTTCGAGAGAAAGAGAGACCCTCGGAAACTCGTTCTCATCATTAGGGATGAGTGGTCGGTACTGCCCAGGGCCGTAGTCAGGAGACGCTGCGAGATGTTTGGCGTAGACGCTTCCGAAAATTGTCGACGATAAACTGGACACTCGACATCAGGTCCCCCGAGTGCTCGGAGCTATTTCCTGTTTGCTCCAGGCTCGGCCACGGTACAACCCCGTGACCATAAAGCTAATACATCCGCAAAGAGGGGTTCGCGATTGGGGTGTCGCGCCGTTCTTCGATTCGACCGCGTTCGTCCCTTCGGTCCACCTTCCGCGCATCGCTCGGCTCCATTCATCGTCGGTACGGGTGGATATGTAGTTGAGACTCTCTCTGACAAATCGGTCGCGTGTCGAAAATGTACGACACTTTAATACCGTACTTAAAGCGGAAGGAAGCTATAACTATTAAGTACGCGAATGAGCAGTCATTCGCTGCGTACGACTCTGCTTTGGATATTAGGAAGTTGAAAGAGCCGCTGGGAATTAGCTATAAAGATATGAGTGATTCAGATCTTGCCAGCAAGACAATAAATTGTGAACATTTTAACGTAATCTGCTCGAAATTGTAAATGCGAAATGTTAAATGCGAATGAAAGGATAAAATAAAAAAATAAGAACGTTGTCTGGAATAATTTGCGGAAATTCCGTGCGTCTTTGACGATAAGAAGTCAGTTCGGTAGATATCGTTCTCGTCCTTCGGGCAAGCTATAAAGATAAATAGTCAGCCGGCAAATTTACACAATTTGTGGCGAACGACGGTCGGCGCGGATATCTTGGAGCGAAAAGAAGCGCGGGGTGGTAAGATAGGTGGTGGAGGGAATAGCAATCTACGGAAATTGGCAAGAGCGACGAACCAATTTCCGAAAGAGGCCCGCAAACACCGGGCCAGGGGTCAGTTGGGGTGAGGGTTAATCGTCGATAAAACGATCCTCGTTAACGCGCTCGAGCGATATACGCTCGGGCTGCGAAAGCGTACGTCGCAGTTGGCACGTCCGTGAACGTTGCACGCTACCGTGTCTCGGTATAAAGCACGTATATGAAGTACGTGTTAACCCTCGGTTAATCGGAAAAATCGGGATACGATTGGATTTTGAGCATATAAGTCTTTTTAACATTGCGTTTTTAATACAAGGAAAGAACGAATTTTGCTAAAAACTTTGCTAGACATAGATCTGAAAATAATTTTGTTGGAAATTCAAACTGGTTACTAGAATATCAAAACGTTTTATATATAGAAATGCTCGTTATTTTTGAGTGTCCAACAATATTATTTCTATATCTAGCGTAGACTTTCCAGTAAAATCGTTCTTTCCGTGTGCGTTTAAATTTTAACTTTAGTAAAAAGATAATGCTTTTATTTTTCTTACATACAAAAATTTATACCTCATAAATTATGTAATATTTGTACAATATTTTAATGATTTGCTCTTTCTTTGTACATACTAACTATATTTATGTATTCTTACTTACAATTAGCTTAATAGACAAGTTTATCTTTCTAAAAATTTCTATCTTTCTAACCAAGAATCGAAAAAGTATCAACGATTATATCCAAAATTTGTATTCAATGCGTGGACTGTTGAGTTTTTTTTTTTTAAACAACACTTA